GTTTACCCTGAACAAGTTGTGAACCAAGTTTGGGAACCCCTGGTCTACAGCCAAGCCCTAAGATACAACAGCATTTGCTCCAATCCCTCAGACAGAGACAAACTCCTAACAAGATCTTTATTAAGCATTCTTACAACTACAATACCCACCTAGGGAAGTGAGGAAACAGATTGACAGAGCGAGACAGGTACCCAGAAGTCATCTACTTTAGGATAGGTCCAACAAGGAAAATAACAGAACACGACTGGCTATCAAGTACAGCCCCCAGCTAAAACCTCTCCAGCACATCATCAACGATCTACAACTTATCCTGGAAAACGATCCCTCACTCTCACAGATCTTGGGAGGCAGGCCAGTCATCACTTACAGACAGCTCCCCTAGTTAAGCAAATACTCACCAGAAACTACACACCACACCACAGAAACACTAACCCAGGAACCAATTCCTGTAACAAACACTGTTGCCTACTCTGTCCCCATATCTACTCTAGCGACACATCAAAGGACCCAACCACATCAGCCACACCATCAGGGGCTCATTCACCTACACATCTACCAATGTGGTATATGCCATCAGGGCCAGCAATGCCCCTCTGCCATGTACATTGGCTGAATTGGACAGTCTCTACATAAAAGAATAAATGGACACAAATCAGACATCAGGAATGGTAACATAGAAAAGCCACTAGGAGAACGCTTCAATCTCCCTGGACATTCTATAACAGATTTAAAAGTAGCCATATTTCAACAAAACTTCAAAAATGGACTTCAAAGAGAAATCGCAGAGCTACGATTCATTTGCAAACTTAATGCCATTAATTTGGGCTTGAACAAGGACTGGGAGTGGCTGGCTCACTACAAAAGCAATTTCCCCTCTCTTGCTATTGACACCTCCTCCTCAATTATCGGGAGTGGACCACATCCCCCCTGATTGAATTGGCCTTGTCAGCACTGGTTCTCCACTTGTAAGGTAACTCCCTTCTCTTTGTTTGCCAGTGGATTTATGCCTGTATCTGTAATTTTCACTCCATGCATCTGAAGAAGTGAGTTTTTCACCCACAAAAGCTTATGCCCAAATAAATCGGTTACTCTTTAAGGTGCCACCGGACTCCTCAATGTTTTTGTGGATACAGACTAACATGGCTACCCCTCTGATCTTTAATTACATAATCACTTCTTACATTTTCATAGGACCCTTGCCTATTTGACTTACCTCATCTAGATAGCATTGTCTTCCCCTGTGAAGAAAGGGGAGACAATCTGTGGTTGTCCATGATAGAGGGTGTTTCAGGATCTTCACAGTGCCATGCTTTGCTCCCTCCAAACACAGACGTTAGTTTGAAGAAACCTTCTAACACTCACAGAGTGAAATTCCTCGTTGTGGAGGGGTCCAGCATAAGGGGAACGCAACACACTCAAGTCGCATTTAAACCCCAAGAGCCTGATTCACCCTTGCCCTGCACCTTGCATAGTCTTTCACATTAGTGGAAAGCAATTGTAAGAAGCTGCCAGATCAAAATGGTACATTTTTGTGCCCCCTCTGCACAGGTGTAAATAACTATGCACAGTGCAAGGCAATAAAATATCAGGGTCTGAGTGTCTGATCCTATGCATTGAAGTTAAGGGGAGCTGCACCATTGACTTCAATGGGTGCAGGATTGAGTCCTGCCAGTTTAAGTGGAACTCACATCATTCACGGGCCTTGTGTAGGCTCTCTTTCAGGGGTGAATTTCAACCAGACAGAGCAATATCTTGTATGTCTGCGCATGTGCATATCCAAGCATGATTCCTGAAAAGCTGATGAAGTTATTCTGCAGGAGGAGGGTAGTTTATCTGCCTTATCTTCTACTGCCAGTTGCTAAATTATTCCCAGTGTGTTAAACAATGTAATTAAACACATACACACACACTAAAAACCCTTGTTCTCAGTCAGAAGAGAGAGAGAGAGAGCGTGCGTCAGTCCCAGCCTTTAAGCTCTGTTAGTTTTAATTTGAGTTGTGGAATTAGTAATCAGTTTTGCTGGAACACTGTTGCGGGAAATAGATCTTAGCATGCACAAGGCCTAGGTACCGTTTCAAATGAGTATTTGTTAAGGAGAAACCATTCCCTGTCGTGTTATGGTACATTACATGAGATTTATTTCCATTGTATTGAAAAATGCAAGTCAAAAAGGAATGTTCTTTCTCTATGTCAGCTGAGAGCTATGTCTGAATTTCATCTGATTTCTTTGAAATGAAATTGCTTTTTTAAATTAAATAACAAGACAAGACACTCCTGGTCTTTCCAGGGGATTGTTAAAGGTCCTAAGAGGAAAGGACTTTAACTACACAGAAGGGCAATAATACTCTATAAAACAGTGGTTCTTAACCTTTACTGCAGCCTGCATCCCTTTGGTTCTCAAAATATGTTCTTGCACCCCTTGTCAAAAGCCTTTGAAGTAGGTCAGTTCTTTAAACCCAGATATATTTTTGTTTGTATATTACAGTAATTGTTAAATGTATAATGTTAATAAATACATAGATTTGATGAAACAAAGTAGTTGTACTTACGTGTCTGTGCTTCATTTGTGTTTTCGATGATTTACCTTCTAAAAAATCTGGCATGTCTGGCTCCCCCAGAAAGGGCATCTTGTACCCCAAGGAGTGCGTGCACCCCAGGTTAAGAACCACTGCTATAAAACATGGGGAAGCTATATTAGCCGTTTCAGTGAATCTAAATGAAGTTTTTAATAATCCTGTGTGAAATGTTCACAACAAAACCAGAAGCCAGGCTCTCATCTGAATATTAGTGCTTCTGCTCTCCTTACCCAGTGTTGGAGGCATATTGACAAATAGAGATGATCATCTGATAACAGAAGTATCTTTCATCTAGCAAAAAAGGCATAACAAGATCCAGGGGTTGGAAGCCAAAGCCAGACAAATTCAGATTAGAAGTAAGGTGCAGCTTTTTCACAGTGTGGGTAATTAACCACTGGAACAATTTACCAAGGGAGATGGTAGATTCTTTGTCACCTGAAGTCTTTAAATCAACCCTGGATACCTTTCTAAAATATATTCTATAGCTCTAACAGAAGAGCCAGGCATTGTGCAGGAATCACTTGGGTGAGGCTGTTTGGCCTGTGTTATGCAGGACACCAGACTAGATAATCACAGTGGTCCTTTTTTTACCTCAAAATCGATGAATTATCTGCCCAAAGTGACCAGTGGGCTTAAAAAACAAAATGCTATGAATGAAGATGGCTGGAATGGAATTCAAGGGAAGGTGGGTTGTGTTTGTTGGAAGGAATAGGACTCAAAGGAATGTTCGGTACTTTTAGAGAAGGGTGATATGGCTTAGGTTAAAACCAGAACTACACTGGGGTTAAAATGTGACTCAGAAATGTGTGGCTTGGGATAACAAAGCTCTTGAGAGCCTTTGTGAAGCAAGGGGGCTCTCAGAAGGTTTTATTCCTCTGAATGACTGTTCTTTCAGTAACAGAAGGCCCCAGGTGAGAGAACACATATATCCATGTGTGAATGCATGTGTGCGTCCACATGTGGCTTTGGGAAGGCCATGAGACCAGTACAAACAAAAATCCTCACACTCCCCTTTTGTGCAGAATAACTAAGTCGGGAACCAGTTGCTCTTTAAAACTCTGGGGCTCTGGCAAAGCCTGGGAGTCTTTGAAGCCTCTGCCCCTCTCCCTCCTCATCTCATGGCCGGATCAGGAATGGGGCTGGAAAATGACACAGAAGGCCCGGGAGGACACTTGTTTATCTGAGCTCCCATATCTGTGGATTCAGGGCTGTTCTTCTGAGGTGGCCCTCAACCCTTCTTCTCTATCATTCCTGACTGCAGGTGATGCTTTCACAAGCTGTTCTACTGCTGTGCTCTTTGACAACCCTAAGGAGGAAGGGGCCCACAGCAAGAGTCACATCAACTTGAATTCTTCACCAGCAGCAGTGCTGGGTGCTGTGTCAGGCCACAAGTAGACAGAATCCCTCCATCTAGCGTCAGGACTAGTCCTTTGCATGCATCTGGCACATGACTGCAACCAATGAGGAGTCTCACCCAGCTGTGTGAGGAAGCACTTTTCCCAACTGACAGCTGCTCTTGTGCAGAAGGAAAGGAATTCCTAGTTGAGATAGACCCAAACAACTTGAGAACACCCCCAAATCTGGGCAGGGCAGTGGGTTTCCAAATCTGGATATGACTCTAAACTTCTCAGCTAAGCCTAACTCAGCTCTCCAATTGAATCAATGGATCTAAATCCCTCCAACTTTGGAAGGTGTGGATGAAATGCAGATTTCAATTTAGGGCGGGATTTTTGCCTCCTAGTTATTTGAGAAATTGATCCTAAGACAAAGCCATCCCTGAAAGTCTTTCCATTAACACCAATGGACTTTGCACCAAACCCCGAGACAGGGCAATGGCTGGAGGGGGTGTTTGTTTTGGTTAGCGCTCTCAACAGCTCAGTGAGTGGTGGAGCCATATGCATCTGAATGTGGACTATGCCACCAAGCATTCAAAAATGAGTCCAAAGAGCTCAGAAAATAAAAGTAAACTCCCACAAAAATACACCATGCACAAAAGCAATCAACAGCTGAGTGTTTTTTGGGCCCACTACAAATGTCTTAGGTTACCATAGCTTCTTCTGTAACACCCTCCCAACAGCAATATTCCCTTCCCTCCCTTGTTGTCCGTCCACCCCACCCCACCCCACCCCATGTTCTATTATATTACCTATATAGTAGTGCAGTGTTTCCCAGACAGTTTGCTCAGGAAGACTTAGAATTGAATCTGAAGCAATGGCAGTGTTGGTTTAAGATAAACCTGGTGGCATTTTTACCATTTCTCTTTCTCCAGGCATTTCCAGCTAGGAAGGATTTTGTCACTACTACCTCCTTCTGTGAGTAGCTGCTCCAGAATCCTGTCTGGGCACTCCCTGTGTGCTTGGAAGGCAGTGTTTCAGAAGTGGCCATTAACAATGGCTGACACACTTTCTCCTTCACAGGATAGAGGCATGATGATGCCTGCCCCTGGCCCGTATCAGAAGCTAGAACGAGGCTGGCAAACCAAGGGGAGGATTGGAAGCCTTCAGAGCCCGCAGAAATTTAACAATCAGGATTTCACCCTCCTGAGAGAGTACTACCTGAGCCGAGGCCTGCTGTTTGAAGATGACACCTTCCCAGCACAAGTCAGTTCCATTGGTCCCAATCTGCTCTCAGCAGACAAGCTGAGCTACCTACAGTGGAAAAGACCAACGGTGAGTTCCTCCTGATGGCTTTCAATTGCGAAGCTGATTTCCTGGGTGTAAAAAGACAACAGCTTTGATTTATCTCATGGCTGTTAGGTACAGCCCTCTGCGGAGGGCTGTGCCCAGCTATGCTGACTCGAGGGAAGCACTGGGAAGCATTGCGTCTTACGGACAGACCAAGGCTCCCAGGCCTGTGGGGGAGGGCACCTGGTGTTACGTCTCCATTAGAGGGTGAGGGGGTGAAACGTGTGCTTCTCCACTGGCCAGCACATGGGGGCAATGAGCAGGCGAGCACAGGGACTGAGATCACAGCCAGCCCTTGAGAAAGGGCACTAAAGGACGGTGTTCCTGGTATGTGTCCGCTCACATTACACCTGTGCGGGGACCAGCCACAATCTTGCCCTTAGTTTGAACCACTTAATTACAAGTATTTGTCCCAAAGCCCCATGGGATGGTGACCTGCCATCTTTTCAATTTATACCACAACCTCCTCTCAGCCCCAAAAACCTTCCTGCCTGCTTTTAAATTAGTAGATGTCAATAGAAATCATTTAAGCTGAAGTTTTCATTTATTTAGGGTTTTTTTTTAAGTATATCAGATCAGATCCTCAGCTGATGCAAATTGATGTGGCTCCACTGACTTCCGCTGAGTGACCCTTGATTACATCAGCTGAGATCTGGCCCATTCTCTCACTTTTAAGGCACAGATTCAGATCATTGGTCAGCTTGCACTGTCATTCCCTAAAATCTTGAGGGAAAGCTTTGCAGTCAGCCCTAGTTCTGCAAAGCCACGGGGCCAAATTCTGGTTACAACTCCACTGAAGTCATAGGGCCAGATGTAGGGAATGGTGTAAATTAGACCCTCCCCTTTTCCTCTAACCTAGATATCTATGCGCTCAGGCTCTCTTCAAGCCTACTTCTGCTTCTCCTACAGATGGATAAGAGAGTCACCGGGGTTGTACCGGGGTCTGACACTGACAACACTTTTTAGGATTTGGTCCCGAGCATCACAGACTGTAGAAATGGAAACAGCCTGTTCTCCATTCCCATCCCCAAGCCAATTGCAGGATTGCCCCTAGCGCCCATTTTCTAGTGGTTTGTCCAGCCTGCTTTTTAAAAAGTCCCAAGCAATGGGACCTTTACCACTTCCCCAGGCAGGACTAGTGTACAACTGAACACATCTTTCTGTCACCCCGTAGAGCGGCACCTCTTGTAGCAAATTTGTCCGATGACTGTATTTCAGAGGTGGGCAAACTACGGCCCACGGGCCACATCCGGCCCGTGGGACTGTCCTGCCCAGCCCCTGAGCTCCTGGCCCAGGAGGCTTGCCCCCCCATCCCCTCCTCTGTTCCTCCACCCATGTAGTTATGATGCTGCATGGGCAGCGGGGCTACGAGTTCCTGCCGCTCTTAGCTGCATGGTAAGGGGGCGGTGGCAATGTGCGTGTGCAGCGGTGTGGGGGTTGGGTAGGGGGTCCCAGGGGGCAGACAGGGAGCAGGGGGCGGTTAGGGGCGGGGGGTCCTGGGGGCAGTCAGGGGACAGGGAGCGGGGGCGGTTGGATGGGACGGAGGTTCTGGGGCGGTCAGAGGTCGGGGAACGGGGGGGGTTGGATAGGGTGTGGGAGTCCCGGGGGGCCTGTCAGGGGGTGGGGGTGTGGATAGGATTTGGGACAGTCAGGAGACAGGGAGCGCGGGGGGGGGGGTTGGATAGGGGGTGGGGTTCCAGGGGGGCGGTTTGGGGTGGGGGGTCCCAGGAGGGGGAAGTAAGGGGACAAGGAGCAGGGGGGGGTTGAATGGGTCAGGGGTTCTGACGGGGGCAGTCAGGGGGTGTGAAGTGGGAGGGGGCGAATGGGGGCGGGAGTCAGGCTGTTTGGGGAGGCACAGCCTTTCCTACCCAGCCCTCCATAAAGTTTCGCACCCCAATGTGGCCCTCGGGCCAAAAAGTTTGTCCACCCCGCTGTATTTTCTCAACCACTTTTCTTAGCTCCCCCTGACATTTAATTTCTGGTTAGAAATCTGACGGCAAAGAAAAATAGCACCTTGGTCCTATTCTTCTCTCCTCATTCTGCATCTTCTGAGTCACATAGTATCAGTGACAGATCGTTTTTACTGCTGTCAGTGTTCCAAATCCAATGTAGGAGCTGAGGAGCAAGCTGCCTTCTATTTTACCCTGTGCATCATCAAGAGAATTGCCAATTACATTCAGAGTCTGGGATCTTTATATCTGGTGCTAATGTGCAAAGCAGAAAGAAAACAGCTTGATTTTCAGACACCAGGCAGTGGTGAGTTAGAGAAAACTTGTTTTGACTTGTAAAGTGAGCCAATTTGATATAGGAGTCCTTGAGGGGGAACAGATTGGGAGCACCACGATGTCATTTTTATTGTTGCTTTTCTTGATTGTGTAGTAGCTGCACTTGGACAGTAGCTGTGAAGATTAAGGGCCATGTTTTCAGACCCAGCCTCTGGTTTTGTGCCCACAGAGAGGTGTGTGCTGTTATTTGCACCTGCAAAACTGTGTGTTCACATGTTCTGCATGTGCAATTTCAAGCACTGTTGTTATAGCTAGGGGTGATTAATACTGAAGTAGGCAGGGATCCTGTGGGAAAAATAGTATGTGATTATCTCATTACAGACTCTCTCATAATTACAGCTGTATGAAAAAAATTGGATGAATATTTTATTCACCAAAAACGTTGTTTCAGATTAACCAAAATTATGAACCAATTCATGTTGAATTTGGCAAATAGTTTTGGCTGAAAAAATAAAAAATAAATTTAAAAAAGTTGGAATATTTCATTTTTAAATGAAACATTTTGTTTTTTCATTTTCAGACAATGTTTCATTTTGAAATTTGCCTAAATGTAATTGAAAAGAAATGGGATCCCTCCCACCAAATCATTTCGGTAAAACAAAAGAATGTTGGTCAACACCAAATTAATGTAGGGGGAGGGTTCATTTTTTGGGGGGGGGGGAAGGAGAAGAAGTTAGTTTAGGTTAATCCAAAACAATTTTTGTTTTGGTTCAGGCAACAAAATGAATATTCAGTTATTTGCACAGCCCTAAGTATAATTCACATGCACAAAGAGGCTGTCAAGGTTCCTTCCCCACTCTGAACTCTAGGGTACAGATGTGGGGACCTGCGTGAAAACCTCCTAAGCTTACTTTACCAGCTTAGGTTAAAACTTCCCCAAGGTACAAACTATTTTACCCTTTGCCCTTGGACTTCCACTGCCACCACCAAACTTTATCTGGGTTCCTGAGAAAACGTTGTTTGGAAACGTCTTTCCCCCCAAAATCCTCCCAACCCTTGCACCCCACTTCCTGGGGAAGGTTTGATAAAAATCCTCACCGATTTGCATAGGTGACCACAGACCCAAACCCTTAGATCTTAGAACAATGAAAAAGCATTCAGTTTTCTTACAAGAAGACTTTTAATAGAAGTAAAAAAGAATCACCTCTGTAAAATCAGGATGGTAAATACCTTACAGGGTAATTAGATTCAAAACATAGAGAATCCCTCTAAGCAAAACCTTAAGTTACAAAAAAGACACAGACAGGAATATTCATTCTATTCAGCACAGCTATTTAAAGAAATCATAATCTAACACATACCTAGCTAGATTACTTACTAAATTCTAAGACTCCATTCCTGTTCTGTCCCCGGCAAAAGCATCACACAGACCCTTTGTTTTTCTCCCTCCTCCCAGCTTTTGAAAGTATCTTGTCTCCTCATTGGTCATTTTGGTCAGGTGCCAGTGAGGTTACCTTTAACTTCTTAACCCTTTACAGGTGAAAGGATTTTTCCTCTGGCCAGGAGGGATTTTAAAGGTGATTACCCTTCCCTTTATATTTATGACAGAGGCTAAATCAAGATTGCACAGGCAACCTTAATTCTGGCATTTTCTGATTTCTGAGTGTTTGACTTTGCAATCTTAAAAACATTCTTTTACTGTAGAGCAGGGATCGGCAACCTTTGGCACACGGCCTGCCAGGGTAAGCCCCCTGGTGGGCCAGGCCAGTTTGTTTACCTGCTGCGTCCGCAGGTTCAGACAATCGCGGCTTCCACTGTCCATGGTTCACCGTCCCAGGCCAATGGGGGCTGTGGGAAGGGCAGCCAGCACATCCCTCGGGCCGCGCCGCTGCCTGGAGCAGCGAACTGCGGCCAGTGGGAGCCGCGATCGGCCGAACCTGCGGATGCAGCAGGTAAACAAACTGGCCTGGCCACCGGGGGCTTACCCCGGTGGGCTGCGTGCCAAAGGTTGCCGATCCCTGATGGAGAGAGAGAGATGTGTGTGTGTGTGTGTGTGTGTGTGTGTGTGTGTAATCATTATACTGCAGTAGTGCCAGGATGCTGCAATAGAGATCAAGATCGCACTGTGCTAGGCACTGCACAAACATCTCACTCAAGTCCATCCTTGCCCGGAAGAGTATGCAATCTGAATGGAGAAGCCAGACAAGGGTGGGTAGAGAAACTGAAGCACAGCGAGGTGAACTGACTTGCCCAAGGACACACAGTGAGTCAGTTGCAGAGCCAGAAAAGAACCCATGTCTCCTGACTCTCAGGCTGATCTTCTATTCACTGAAGCATGCTGCCTCTCTGTTAGTTTGTATCAGTTGTATTGTAGCCAACTCTTGAGGCTGCATTCAGAATCAGGACCCTCCTGTGCTAGGCATTGTGCAAACACATTTAAAGACAATCCTTGCCCCGAAAGAGCAATCTAATGGTCAGATTCAGGGCTGGCCTTACCATGAAGTGAACTGAGGCAGCTGCCTCAGGTGCCAGACTGGGGGCGGGGCGCCACTAGGACCCAGAGTGTAGAAAATTGTGTCTGCTGCTGGTGCATATGTATTCTCTCTGCTCTAGATGCACAGAGATGGTGGAGTGCTGTGTTGGAGGAAGGAGGGCACAAGAGACATAACAGGCAGGCAGGAGAAAAGGTGAGAGGGAATAACAGAAAGCAGCAGGAGCTGCAGGGAGAGAGAGGAGGAGGACGAGCCTGTTATGTATCTC